AGGTTGGTGAGCAATTCGGGGTTCAAACATGGCTTTCTAAATTCACTGTATTGCGTAGGAGTCAACCTCTGGCAAAAGTGAAGAACACATTGTCGATTCATAATTAAATGTGCAGAAAAACTGTGCATTTTCCAACCTATCGACCTACTGTTTCCAGATGGTATCGCTGCTGATTCCTGAAGTTGTCACTACGAAACGTTATTGCCCAAGTACGCAGTCAGTTATGACCGCAATATCTGTGACTGTATAGGGTTTTTCGGATCTTCATAAACCTTTTCCATGTTGAAACACTCAAGCATTTTGAATAAGATATTTCAACAAACTTCTTAGGGTCGTCATCATCATCATCAAAGACAGCAACATCAGTGTTGCCACTGATGCTTCACTGCCGTACAGGCATGAGAATATTGTTAGTTGTGTAGGTCATGGTTGTACGAGGGCTGGGATACTGCCAGGGCGCCCACACCTAGACAGGAGGACGATTAGGGTCCCCAACCAAAGCCTTTGGCTCAAAAGCCTAACCGTAAGGCAGCGGTGTTCGGCTGGAGATGCAAGTACATTACCATTTTTTACGGAACACGTCGCCATACATGTTCCAACCCCCAACCTGGAGGGTCAGGAGACTGTGTTCGTCGGACCTCTACCCATGGACCAACCTGGTATGAGAGACTCTGTGAGCATCGTGCGGACACTCCTCAGTATAGCTCAATGGATCGCCGAGGTACACAAACCACCACACCACGGTAAGGCTCATTCTCTTCGTGACGGGACCCGTGGGCTTGGACTGAGTGGAACAAATCTAATTGTGGGAACTCCGTCTTTTGGGAAGTTGAATCGTGGGAATCAGTCTGTATGGACTGAGTATGTGGAGAAAGTACACTGTTATAGGCAACAGGCACGGAATTCGATCGTCTGTTACCAGACTGTGGGTATTCTTCGTTATATTTGATGTTAGGTTTTCAAATAAATCGCGATGTCTCTTCGCAAGATTTGAAGAGACTGTTGGTAATATTCACAGAGTGTACGGCAATTGCGTGGGGTGCAATCACTGAGTCTCTCTCTGGTTTGCTCAGCACCCTGGAGTTTGCGATTACAGATACGCTATGTGGACGACACTTTTGTGATTATAAAACGGGATGCACATTCATACTGATTCATCAATACGGCATTTGAAGACATCAGATTTACACTCGAGATTAAAAAGTGCAACCGTACAATTTAGGTCCAAGTAGAACATAAGGTTGAAAGAAACTCGCGGAGTACAAGTAAATGATGAGCCCTAAAGGGGGAGAAATCAATCGCGGGCTCTCAAATGGATTTCAGAAACCTTGTGAGTAGTGTGTCACGTCTACGTAACGCGTTGTAATATCTCGAATATCGTAACAACTGAAACATGAGGCGGCCTAGTGCAACGCATTCAGTTGAAAAACATCATAAACGAAGGATTCAGCTGGGATTTAAGTGAGTCTCAAGCGGAAGCAAACAATATGTATTTCACTAACTTCGAGCAATCTGGGTTCACGCAGAACCTCAGGCTGACGGAAATTCGGGGACTGCGCCTACCTGATGAGTTTCAAGAAAAGCAAAACCAACCATTGGATGTAGAAGAGCTTTCAGCACGTTTGTGAGCAGTGTGTTACGTACATACAATAACTGGATACTGTTTTTGGACGCCAATGCATCCAAAAACAATGAAGGAACACTGCAATTGTCTGTACACTGGAAGGGGACTCGCCAATCAAGAATGACAACCATCCTTTAAACCACAGGAAACTCCGTTTAAAGAAAATTACATCTATCAAGTACCCAAAAACAACATATACCTCGGAAACCTCATCAGAAGGAACTTGAAGAAAAATACTGCCCGACAACAACAGGAACATCAAGATCAACGACCAAACGGATAGAGAATCCATGCATCAAGAACATTTTTGAATTCACAGCAAGGCTACTGCAACTGAAGCAATCTCGGCAGCTAACAAACCGGGCGCTAGATTGAAGAAACCGATCCCACGACCGAAATATAGGACCGAAGACATAAAAACAAGACAGTGTGCTGAATCAAGTGCACGAGCCGCAACAAATATTATACTGCACAGACTGGAATAAAGGAATATAACGCGGCTATTCAAAATCATGATTCACTATTTCTTACCTCCTTAAATGAAGACCAGGAAGGATAAACGTTTAATATAGAAAGTGAAGATTGTCGCAGGCGGAAGTACAAGAGTAAGGAGGAAATTCCTAGAAGCACGGTATTCCGCGAACGATTTAACCAACCGGTATACCAACATCGACCCTGTATACGAACAAAGCTCACGAAGAGGAGACCGGAGAGGTCAAGTCCAAGAGCTAAACGGTCACCCACCAATCAGAAGACAGGCTAACCAACAAGGCCATACGAATGCTCACCCTAACGACCAATGATCCGTTAAGGTGGACCAAGATGAGTAGACCGAATGTAAGCCGATGCATGCGCAACAAAGAGCTCTCATTTACAACGCACAGAGGATGTCACCTCAACTGGTGGTGAAATGCTTTCAACTAAAGTGTCCAGCTTAGCGAATGATACAATAACCATCCCAGATTTCCCGGAGCATCGCACGAAAGCCGATTGCCTTCAGCACCCCGAACCAGCATTTGTTTACCGGAAGTGGATGTAAGCCGAATCGGTGCTGTCGTTATGTTGGACACAGTTGGGCCAGTCCTTTGATTTGATTGAGTCCTAAATACGAACTAATTACCTCCGTTGTCCAGCTAGAGAATCGTGACATTGCTACGGCTGCACAACACGTGACAAAACGTAGGACTGTTGCATCCAGTGAAGTCGTGTATAATTCCGGTATTTTTGTTCCCAAGATCCAACTTCCAGTGTCCAAACTCTTTATCTCTTCCGGATGCCCATCAAATTTGAACGGCAGCAGGTAAGTCTGTATCACTATCAGCTAGGGACAAAATTGGCCGTTTTTGGACTCACAAGGGAACTGTTCCTCGAGGAGTGTTCGCAAACAGGAAAAACGTATGGAAAAGAATCGTTGACTCGAAGGTATTATTTCTTGGGGCAGCTAATGTACTCGTGAAATAGGGACTTTCCGTCACATGTCCAAACAAGACCGTTCGCTGATTCAAATAAAAGGTGGTTCCCTAATTTAGCCAGAGTAAAATAAAACTTCTGTTGAGCTAGTAAAACCACGGTTAGCAATGATCATCGAACCGCGTCACGAAGCCAATCGGGTCTTACGGTCTAGTTACGATTCGCTTTCATTACAGCCTCTCCCTGTGTGAGCAACCGTCAAATAAAATTCTGTCGGCTTTACGCCCGAGCTGAATTATAGTTGTTTAAAAAGCTGAGACATTTCGTGCCTGAGTGATCACGAACAAGTGACCAGCAGACGGTACACCGATCAACAAAGTAGAAAAAAGGTGCCAGCAACAACAATGCTGGTGCCGTACAACCTTGTCAAATTTTTCAGATAAATTTCCACAATGAAAGTTGGAAAATGGCCTACTGAAAATAGAATATTACTCAGCTAAAGTACACGCAAGTGAAAGGGACAAAAAACTGGACTGATGTAGACGCTCAGAAAACAGTTAAAAAGACGGTAGATTTTCGATAATCTCGATGAGTAGTTCCAAAACAAGGTTGACTGTGGCTTATGGTTTGCTTGGCATCCCAAATTATAAGCAAACGTGTAGGAAATTCTCACAACATACTGATAATCTTTTGAACTGATAAAAACCTTAAGCATTATCACTGGATTAATTTGCATTCCAAAACCGTATTTCACAAGAAACACCCTCAGTCAGAGGTTTGACAGATGTTTTGTGGGGAGAACCAGTTCCGGACGTAGCCGGACTAGACAAATGCCAATGGAATAAGCGTTTTCGCTGAGAGATTTAATTGATTGTTCTTCACTTGTCCTTGACAGATTACTTCTATCCTTAGTACCAATTTTCGGCCCGCCTAGAACTTCAACGTGAGCTTTATAAAGAACTCGTTTTCGGTTGCACACGACACGCCTGTACGCGTCAGTGTTCAATAGATCAGTTGATTCACATCTTCACTGGCATTCTGATGTGACTAAGCGCATCAGGCTATCAAGCAGCTATCCAGACTCGGGTTCACGGTATTAAGAAGGCATTGAGAAAACTGTGGTCCACAACAAATTGGCGACAGAGATGGAATTTTGTGTCACGGTGAGGCTTAACTACACTGTTCGCAACAGCGTCAAAAAAGATTTCCTGGTTTTAGCTGTGGCTGGGCTCTGAATTTCCTAATTGTGAAGGATTGCTTCAACTAACCTCAACTGAGACTACAAATTTCAATCCCGGCTGCTGCAAAATCAAAATCAGTTTTTCATAGGAAAGTGGCAATAGGGAGTTCGATTTCCAAATATTTCTGTCCACAACGAGTTCCAATCATTCTTGTTACGCAAAAAGGGGACAAAGTACTCACACAATCGGGATGAAGGATATTCGGTAGCCGCAAAGCGGGTTTCATAAACTCTCTCGTCACGTTCCGCAGAGTGACCTGAGAAAATAGGATTGAAAAGGGAATTTTTTGGACAGACTGTTCGCCCGAAGCTCGTCAAGCAACAAGTTCCTTCAAATTTGATTATCATACTTACCGAGGTGATTACGGAAAACACAAAAAACAGTCATAGTTGGATTGTCAGGTGAAATCGGATCTGCTGAAGGTTTATTTATTGGTTCCGTGAAGACTTCCCGATAAACCGACCCTAAAAACAGGTGCATGCAGCCAATCAACTAAATCTGACTACTCATTTGGCAGTAATGATTGCATTCGGCAAACCCAGTTAGCATGTCAGGAGGATGGGAACAGTGCCGAAGCAAATTTCTACCCAATAAATTATGCTACTGGATTTTATTTCAGTAATGTGGAACGTGTTTAGTTCTGTCCCCGCCTCGTGATCTATGGTTCCCGTAGTCAGTTGGAAATGGCTTGCGTCACCACCATACCGGAGCTCAACATCTTTGTCTTGTGTAAGATTCCAATATAGACATGAATCAGCTTGGATGAGCGAGCCAGAGAAACGGTACCTTCAGTTGGTTCTGTTCCAAGCGCAGTCTTCTGGCCTCTGCCCTGAGTAAGCTTGGATCCTAAAAAGAGGAAACCCACGATCAAATAAAGTTTCATTCTAACTGAAGTAAATAGAATGAACTTTTGCATTAAATAGGCAAACAAAATAATAAAAGGCGGAAGGGTATTCATTTATGTCACTGGTTTTAAAAGCGTTACAAGTTGGGTTTTCCCATATCAGATTACGACGGGTATACATTCTGCACCATAAACGACCTCAGCTGACGGACTACGTCTCCTGGTCTTCGGAAGAGATTCGTATACACGGTTCTTCACCCAATCGACTAACCAGATCGGTTCAGCTAGACATGATTATGACCCCATGAGTGGGATGACCCGGCACGTCTATCGTCCCCTGGCTAGTATCCCGACTAGCTACACGAATAAACTATCCTATCGATCCTCATCCGCTCAGTCCCACAAGATTACAAGCTACCAGGAGTGATATTTTCCACTAAACAATCAGAAGTGTGAAATCTGTCAGACTGAGAGATCAGGAACGCTCAGACTAGCGGATGTTATCTCGCATACGAGCAACGTGATTCCAACGATATCTGTTCTAATTCGTTTTGAACATCCTGGAGTTCACCAGTCTGTGGCCCCAAGGAAATGCACACGAAGTGCTAGCTACGGGGAGACTAACCATTGTTGCGCTTACCGCGCCTTGAATAGCATTCAGCATTGTTTATCCTTTCCTCCGTTGTTGGTCTTTACACGCGTGGCTCCATACCAAACATTCTTACATACGTTGGAATTCATATAGTCTGACCGGAACTTTTGTTGGCATGACTTTGAATGAGACACTTCTCTCTTTTTACCTAATTTTCTCCTGCAAACCCTTCCACATCCATCGCCTGCATTTTATTCCTACGTTTGTGACCATCCTCTTCAAAAATAAACGATAGTAGTATTACAAGCACAATGTATTATTCGTCACATGCACCTTGGGCAAACCGGAACTCGAAACGCGGGAAACGTGGTGCCGTAACTTCATACCTGGCGAACTCCACTAACCAACCGGATCCTCTGTCCGAGGAAGTTATTACACAAAAACAGAGTTGACAGAGGGAAGGTGAAAAGCACTACTTACCACGGTGGATTCGCGCAAATGATTCTGCCTCCGCTGACCTTCAAGATCCCGTATTTGACAATTCAAGCCTTCCATTTCTGTGTGAAGTTCAATCTAGTTAAAGTGGAAAAGGATTCATTGGGGGCAACGCGCATGAACTAAATGGAGTACGTCATACTCAACCCAACTATCGAGCCCTCTCTGGTGAATGGCGGCAGTACGAAAGCGATAAATCTCAAATGTTGACTTGTTATAACAATGAAACTGCGAGTAGCATCTGGCCAAATAGTTGAAGGCGCCGTGCGATATCTAATGGGAGATGGATTTGAAATTATTGGACTGCTTTACAATGTTTTTTCCTTAGAATCCCTTATGGGAAGATTATAGGAGGCCATTGCTTGTACACCGTCTTCATTTTAAACAACAGACGATGTACCTCTCAGTAATTAGCTCATTTTTTTTAGTTCAACAGCGGAGCACAGGGTGTTTTGAAGGGGGAATCACGGTAATCTGTGGAAAATTCGAACATTGAAGTCATGGACCCAAATATGAATACACCTCCTCGGCAAACACACCAAATGGTCCAAACTAAAGTGTTCCAGCAAACCTCGGGCTTGCACGCTGTGACGAATATCATCCCAGTTGAACAAAGGATCTGGGTGCAAAACGGGAGAGAAGTGCGGACTTTCGCCGAGAAGAGCAGAGCCCTCGGGCTTTAAAGCTGCGTAGTGCTCGGCTGATGCATCACTCGAAGGCTGCTGTTGGGTATTTTCTAGTGGATGTGTCGAGAGCAGACTGAAGACTCCGTAGATCCGTAGGCGAGACAAGCGACTTTTTCTGATTACAGCGAACATTCCACGATCTGAAACACGATATACAAATATGTAAATAGGTTGCGATGACTCAGACAGCAACAATGCCACGCCTATCTTGACTTGATGCCATGACAATAACAAAAGAGTGGGCACCACCTTGAAAAAGAGAATAGCAAACACAGCAAGCTACCGAGCGTTAATCAGTGGGATCTATAAGCTCGCTTGTGTTTTGACTTTAGGAAAAATTTGAATGGAACATATATAAGGAACAGTCGATCCAGGAAAGCTTTAGGAACCCAAAGACCTTATGAAGGTGTAGAAATGTGACGTAAGGCAGGGCCAACGAAGAATTCATTTCGTGGACGAATCTATGCCAGCCTTAATAGGAAAACAGTGGACTATTCTGAAAGGGACGTACTACTAATAGGGTTGCTGAGAACTTTGACAACTCGCAACCAGCTTCCCCTTCTTGCAGCTCATCAAACAAACGACTTCACGGAATTCTCATCAACCTTACTTCATACTTGAACCCAAATTGGACGCAATTGGAGAACTACACACGTTTTCAAATTTAGTGTTCAAGTATACCATACAGTTGATGAAAGATGAGGAAATGCGTCTAGTTGATTGGCCTTAAGAAGTGTGGAGCCGGTCGTAGGCCGTCGAACAGAATATCAGTAACCATATCGAATACCGCACAGATTGAAACATGAGGCGGACTGGGGCAGCACATTCAGTTGCTTGAAAACACGGTAAATGAGAGACTCGGCCGGTGAACCTTCCGTCGATACCAAATTCGGTTCAAGTAGAACCTAAGGCTGACAAAAATTCGGGGACTGCTCCTACCTGATGAGCTTCGAGAAGAACAAAACCAATTATGGGATTTAGAACAGTAGTTGTCCTTATGAAAATATACTGCGATATCTTGAACATCGTACCAACTGAAAAGTGACGGGACCCTTGAAAAGCAAACTTAATTGAAGAGTATCACAACCCAGGGATTCAGCTGAGATCCTGTTGAGTCTCCTATGAAAAATAAAGTGGTGCGCAGTTGAGCACATCTGTTTCCAGGCAGGGCACAAGGCTCACGGAGACTCGGGTACCGAGCCAACCTGATGACGAAGGTTAAAACTAGTCGTGTACTATTGGGGTAGTAGTGCTTCCTTCAAGATGATATATCGTGAGATATCGAATGTCATGCCAAGGGGACTGTACCGTTTATCGTTCAGCTATAGCACCCTTTTGGTGCCCACTTGCCATGCCACCCGAAGGTTGTACGAGGGCTGGGATACTGCCAGGTCGCCCAAGCCTAGACAGGGGAAGTCGAGTGGCAGAGGTCGGGTTCGAACCACGGACCTTTAGGTCAGTAAATTCGCGCTCTAACCACTTGGGCCACCTCGCCCCCCCCCGTACCGTTTATGTAAACTGATATAGAACTCGGCAGTGAACGGGTGCGCCATGTTGAGGTTGTTTTGGAAGAAACATTGCGCGGTGAGTTGCCTGGAGCAAAGCGCTTCTACATAATACGTCGCAGACAGCCATATTCTTGCAAATGATAAAATTTCACTGGTGGAACCCTAGTTGGAGAGATCCAAGAAACAGAGTATAGTTTTTAGCATACCCATTTGGTTTTGACGGGATATTCACCTGGAACCCAGCTGATGTTATCAAGCAGCCGAATGTGCTGCATTAGGCCACCTCAGGTTTCAGCTGGTACGATATTCGAGTTATCGCGATACATTTTATGGGCGTACTCACTACTCATGGGTTGCTGGAAACTCTTTGTGAGTCCATACAGTTTTCGTGCCTTTTAGAGCTCATCAGTTAGTTCCAGCCGTCTGATCTTGAGAGAACATACGTTGTGACACAACGTACCGCCCGGATATCTTAGTGAAGAGCATTTAGATTAATAACGGAAAAGGACCGAAATATGCGATATCACACCCAGTACCTGTACTAAGGCTAAACGGTGCGTCAGTACACTGATGTGAGAAGTTATTTTGAAGCTTATTAAGACCAGCTTGAAGGAAATTTGATTTCTAAGAACCAGAGATCGAACAACGAAAGGCAACAACATACTTGCAGCCAATGAAGAACCTTGTAGTTGGAATATTTATGTGGGAAGAGAAGAATAGGGAGTCCAGCCGGAGGGGTGCCTGGGTTAATTACGCAGGTAGCTTATGCATGGCAATAGCAAAGTGTAAGTTGTGTTCACTTGGTAAAGCAATCACAGAGGGCACCCACCAAGCCTTCATGAACATTACCGCCAGAACGAACATGAGGCAGATCAAGGCTACCAAACGAGTTAGTATGGTCCCAGAATATAAATCGAGGTAGGCGCAAATGAGTGCAACATTCTCGAGTGAGGAGCGAGGTTGGTTATACCCGAATTGCAATTGTTCAGCTGTCCGTGGTTTTTGAACACAATGTTTTAAAAATTGTTGAGAAGCACAAACAAGCCTGAGAGAACAAGGGACGCCCGATCCCGGACGTCTCGGATACACCCGTTCATTTCTCACGGTTGGAGAACTAGTCTCCAGAGAGGAAACCATTCGACCAATTTTGCTGAACCCACGTCATTTCAGTTCACCAGTCAAGATAACGACGTCAAAAAATGCCACCCGTAGCTGGCGGTTTCCCTCTGAGGCTGTGGAGAATGTCGTACATTCCTGTGTGAGTAGAATAGAGGGCGCAGGGCCAAGGACCGTATGAAGAGCGATTTTAGATGAGGCAATTCGAAACTTGAGCGTCTGCAGTGCTCCGTCATGAGAACAAGTGGTAGAAGATCCGACCCGACCAACAACTAACGGTCGTTTAACTGAGGACTGGACTCAGGATGGCTGGTTCAGAAGAAGTTAGTCTGACGACACTAATAATGGGTGCAGGTGAGTAAAATCACCAGAGTTCCGGAAGGTGAACCAGTGTAAAGGTATTTTTACGCTCCCACAGTTACAATCCACGAAGCCTGGCAAAAAAAGACCCATTAGCTTAATGCTGTGAAATCTCGCTTGTGTCGTGAATTAAGGAGAATGTCTACCAGATTCCAAAGGTAATACCTAATCTAAGTTCGAGGAAACTATCGATATCACCCTGACCGGTTTGTCTTTGATTCAACTCTAGAAATATTCAGTCCCGAGATTTTGTATCCCCCTATGTGTATGAGCTCCACACTATATGAGAACAGCAAGGGCCCTTCATCAACCGATACTACAAGCCTATGGACCTGTTGAATAGCTGTCCAACTTTGGGCAAGGGCTAATTACACGTATACAGAAGAGAGAATGAACTAAGGTTCACTAAGAAAATGCGTGCTGCTTGTAGGTCCTAGTGAAAACGCTTCAGTTGAACTCCAGGAGGAAAACTTGGTGGCAGGAAACAGAGCAAGGTTGGTGCATGCAGCATCCAGCTGCAGTCCGCGTGTGAAGAGTAGAGCAGCCACTCTACTGTTAAGCTTCAGGCTGACAATGAGGATAAGCAAAGCACAACTGTGACAGGATAAGATGAGAACATCACATCACAGGAGATGAAGTGATGAGATTTAATCTGGCTTAGTAACGACTCAAATCCAGTCGCTCAAGTTAGAAGCGGTGATAAAACTGTCCTGGCTATTGCTATTTTCCTCCATCTGAAGAACATATTGATCACCTGAGAACTATAGACCCACCGTTCAGCCTAGATCTGAGACCTGGTCATTACGATGCGGATATTCGAAGACGAACGGCTTTCGGGGCTCGGGATAGGTTAGTGGTTAAAACGAACGGAAGTTTGAACCCAAATCTGGCTTATCGACTTCTCCTGTCTGGCCCGACTCAATTTTCGTGCTCCATTCGAGTTGCATGACAGTCATGCATCAAAAAGTGTCATAACTGTATTGTTATAACTATGAGGATCATTCTGAAGACAAGACGGACCGAAAGCGCTTCCATCGTGTCAGTTCGATGACGTTGCTTCAGTACTTCACGGTTGGTCGTGCTTATCCAGCCACACCGTCTGTAATGGTTTGGACATATCCCCTAATAGTTGGTGAATAAAAGTCATTAACTCAAGTCCCTACAGAGGCTGGTGGTGCCACCCTGGAGGTGTGGCTCAATACAGCCAAATCGGATGTCGAAAAGTTTGAAGTTCAACCTGTGTATGATTATCCTCACTTCGTATGCAGAGAAAAGTGAAGGAACAAAAGAGGAGGAACGTTCAAACAAATTCATCCATAAAAAACGGTTATCCGAGGAACTTTGTTTGGAAATGCTTGGGAAAACGTAACCCGACCAACTCAATAATGCAAGAACAATTACAGCCCCATAAATCACGGACAATTCGGAAGTGACTGCAAGATCGCTCCTCACTGAGAATAAGACCGAGTCGCAACGTATGTGGATCTCACCACCGATTGTCAGGCGTGGATTACGCCAATTCATGAGATACACCAAAGTTAGACAACTGTTGTTACCAGAAAGGTGAAAATTCAGTCCGCAAAGGACTGATCAAAACGGTCAGTAGGGACGTGATGGTCCGACCACCATCTATCTACCTCCTATTGGGGCTTATTCGGTTGTTCGGAAGCCAGAAAATACCACAAGCAAAAGCAGAAAACTGCAACAACACAACCCCAGGACATGCGCTATAAAAACCACAAACTACAGGCACCAGCTTCGATGTATTGAGATAGTCTATTTACAGTTACGGAAATCACAAAAAGGGTTGAAGCATGAAGGTCACGAGGGGAGAGAGTTAATTAGTCTCATGTTCTCTCGTGCTCATCCAAATGCCGATAAACGCGGCGCAACTTCTCTCGTTGCTTTTTGCTGTTCCCGGGTCGTGCGGTTCCGATCCCCTGATTACGCTTTGACTGACTGACAATACGCCAGGGCTTTTTCATCGACTCGCTGCCCATCACTGTACTGGCCGCTGTAGACTCCGCGCCAGATAGAAGACTGGAACCACCGACGCTGGAGTTGACTGTTGACCACGAGGAAGAACTGAAGGAGGAAAGTTTGTCTTCATCATCTTCCGTCACGGTAGAACCTGTCAAAGTGTCCGGAGGTCGAACGATAATACGTTTCCGACTTCGTACGTGTGAGTTCGTTGGAACGTTCTAAAAAGTAGAAAGATTGTGATTGACATCGACCGTAGCACTGAATAGAATGTATGCAAAAATTGTTTATAATGAAACGGGCCTCCAAAAGAATGGGATAACACATCCATCCCATAAGTAGTACAACTACATGTTGAGCAAATGCATTTTGTATGGCCGATTACGAAGCGTGATCCTGAGTAGCAGAAAAGGAGTTTCACACGCAGATGATATGGGATAAACAAGGTTATATGGTACAATGAACCTTCCTAACCTAATACACCTCAAAGTGGCCTTCACGAACGTGTATCCTCTATGAAAAGGACTGTTTTTGAACCCACAGCAAAATTGTATCATGAATCAAACTAGCTTCTTTCCTCCATGATTTCAGCAAAAAACTTCAGTGGCTCCTCAACATAATGCGATTGCCTTTTAATATTGCAACTTTAATATTCCTGGATTTCCAAAGTGCATTCGACTCGGTCTTTTTTTCCTGACACGCTTGCCCACCACAGAATGCCCCGGAAGTTTTTGAACATAATAAACTCTGTATTATCGGACTTCCGGACGTGTGAGAGTATACAAAGGACTCCCCAAAAGCCTCCGTACACGAAGCGGTGTTCGTCAGGGTTATCCACTTTTTCCGTTCCTATTTAACTTCGTGATCGATGAGGTAATAAGATGAACGGTGGAAGTTCTTTAGAACCCTGGTGTTCAAATATCCGCTAACGAAAACCTTATCAATCTGGAATATGCAGACGATATCGTTTTCGCCTTCGAAGAGGAGAACGCGCAGGTGTCTTTCGATGAACTGACCAAAGTCATCCTGTCTTTTGGTGTGCACTTTGAACCCACAAAGTGTAAGGACATGCTCGAGGAGGTGCAGTCACTGAACACGCTCCTTACAATCCATGGAGAGGTACTGGAAGTTGTGGAGCGTTTTACGTATCTTGAAAGTTGTATTGGCCCCGGTTTTTAGTGCGACAAATGAGCTTAAATCACGAATCTGTAAGCACCATGTCACGTTTCCTAACTTGAAACATCTATGGTATCAAAAGCGGCATATCCCTGGATCTCAAGGCAAATGTGCGTATCAGGCTACAGTACGGGCCGTTTTGTTCTATGGCTGTGAAACTTGACCTATTCGAGCAGCTGAACTGAGACGTCTTCAGGTGTCCGACAACCGTTGCTCAGAACCATAGCTCGTGTGGATGGATCTGTAACGAAGAGATCAGAAAGCGAATTTCCGGTTGTACAATGGGGACTTCCACTGAAGAGTTTGCCCAGCACCAGAAGCTGCATTGTTTACGCCGTGCCCACAGAACCATGGTTTGCCGCAGAGAGTACTGTTTTCCGTGCCAAATTCAGAGTAGCGGAAACAGAGGGGTGGCCAAGTGTTGAGCTGGCAGAGGGGTATAGAAGAGAGTACGGAACCTTTGAGTGTTGTCGCTGCGAATAGCCTTCCAGGATGAGGACCGCGTGATCCTCACTGTGCCTGGTTGGAGATGCTGCAAGATATCGCTGCTGATTGACATTAGTGGCGTCCTTGTAGTCAGTTTTCTATCCAAATTGCCTGAATGTGTTTGGAAGTGTGGGCATTTCGCAATGATTGTAGTAGGCTAGTCCGTTCCCCATCCACCTTCTTTAGTTTCTTCAAAATAAAGCTTTCAAGTAAATTATCATCGTACGGCAGCGAAGTATCAGGGACTTCCGGACGTGTGAGAGTATACAAAGGGCCCCCAAAAAGCCTCCGTACACGAAGCGGTGTTCGTCAGGGTTATCCACTTTTTCCGTTCCTATTTAACTTCGTGATCGATGAGGTAATAAGATGAACGGTGGAAGTTCTTTAGAACCCTGGTGTTCAAATATCCGCTAACGAAAACCTTATCAATCTGGAATATGCCGATGGTGATGATGAACAAAGCCGTTAGCATAAAACAGGACTGAGCAATGTTGTACATCCTTCATTCCATCTCACTAGGTATTGCCCCAAATCAAATTGCGAACTGAAATGTGCCATTATATTACTGACATTGAGATAGGTTAGTCTTTAGGGCGTAAACTTGCTGACCGGAGGTTGGTGGTTCAAACTCAATCTCAGCAACTCGACTGCTTCCGTTTACGCTTGGGCATCCTGGCAGTAACTCAGCCCTCGCACCTCTTTCGAGTGGCGTGGAAGCCAGACACCGAAAGGGTGTCACAACTGAACGACTACTTGGATTATTTTTTATTGCAGGAAACCTAGGAGGAATAGGGTGAAGTTGTAGATCGACAATAGTTTAAATGAAGGAACCCAGGCTCTAATTTCCAAACGACAACCGCAAAGATCGTTCAGCTGTAGCACCCTTTTGGTGCCTAACTGCCATGTCACCAGAAGGAAGCACGAGGGCTAGGATACTGCCAGGTTGCCCACGCCTAGACAGGGGGAGTTGAGAGGCGGAGGTCGGGTTCGAACCATGGACCTTCCGGTCAGTAAATTCGCGCTCTAACCACTTAGGCCATATCGCCCCCGAAAGATAAGTACTGTTCTAACGTTCACGTGAATATTGAACGAAAGTGTTCGTAGGTACCTTACCGTTTTGAAGGCAAGTCGATCGAAATCGGTAATGACACCGGGATCCAGTTGTGAACCAACGCTTCCAGGTTTTCTACTACCCACAGGTCGTCCAGTCTTGGTTATGTGTGAATGAGCCAGACTGGGGTGAAGTCCATCTGCGCTTCTCCCAAGAAGTTGAAACTGTTCTGGATCCACATTT